CACCATCTCCAGCCCCCTGGAGCTGGAGGGCACGGTGAGCCGCCAGGGCGACCTCACCCATTTTGTCGCCAACAACTTGCAACTCAAGATCCGTCTGAGCAGCAGCTCTCAACCCCCGCCCCCTGCCCCTGCGCCGCCCTGTTCAGCGCCCTCGTCCACCCCGGCCATCCCCCCCATCGACCCGGACGTGCTGCGGGACCTGGAGCGGCTGAGTCGGGAGCTGGGCGGCAGGGTGGACCGTCTGCTTCGCGGGCTGGGTGGCGCGGTGCAGGAGCTGACAGCCCTGAGCGTGGGCTGCATCCAGACCTACCGCGACGCCGTGGACTCCCTAGGCGAAGCCGTGGACATGAGCATCAAGGGCATGTACACCCTGCTGGCGCGCTGCGAGGAGCTGGAGAGGGCTCTGCAGCCGGTGCAGGGGCTGGCGCGCCAAGTCCGGGATATACGACGCACCCTGGAGGTGTTGGAGGCTCTGTGCAAGTGACCAGGAGGGCGAGAGAGACCAGGCCAGGGCCCAGTAGGATCCTAAGGACTCTTCAAGATGCATTTAGCAGGCCGGCGTCCACTCGCTGGGCCGTATGCAGGTCTATATGGGAAGTTCTAAAGGCTTTCCTGGTGGGAGGTGATGATGCTCAGCTTCTATTCAGTTGGCCATCTGTAGCTACGTTGTTTTCCTCAGCTCTTCTCTAACTAAAGCACCGTCCCTGGGAACCCAGGGCTTCAGGTCTGGGCTTGAGAGACATGCTAGGTGGGATCAAGAAAGGGGAACAGAGGCCCCAGCCCCCACTGTGCCCACTCTGACTCCAGTATCACATCTCAGGTGCCAGGAGCGATGGGAGTTTGAGTGGTCCTTGGTCACACACCATGCAGACAGGGATGCACACCTGCAGATGGGTAACCTCATGCTTTTGCCCACTGGCCCCCTACCATCCCGTTTCAGCCAGACCAGGGTGGAGCTAGAAGGAATGCATTGCATGGTAGAAGGGGTGAGTTGGGAGTGGTCTCACTGCTCTCAGCATTCAGTAGAATTGTTGCTGGTTTTGAAGCCCACCTGTTGTGGAGTGTTCTAATCAGTTTTAACTTTCTGAGTTTTTGTGGAATTAAAGTGCTGCTGCTGCTGCTGCTAAGGCTGAAGCTGTGTCTGTGTGGCGTTACACGGATTGATGAGCCAAAAAGAATGGGAATAAGGGTCCTTCTTTTTCGTGGAGCTCCTTTGGGGTCGGTGCTGGGAGTGAGGTGGGGGCCCAGGCTACGTGGGGAAGGATATGTTCCGGCTCTTAGGCATCAGGTCTGAGGGGAACTGCAGGACACAAACATGACCCAGAGATCCGATAAAAGCAGAAACGAAGCAAGGTGCTCCAGAAGAGAAAAGGAAGGGATTGTCTTCTCAGATGCTAATACGCCTTAGTCCGGGAGGGACTGGGCGAATTGGACATTTTATCTGTGGAGAAAGATGGGGGAAACTTGTTAGCTCCATTCCTGATCCCATTTCCCACACTGCACTGATCATTGCCACATGTATGGTTTGAGACAATCTTTGTTCCAACCCCTGGCACCCTTCTGTTTACAGTTCACATAGTAAGTTCCAGCAGCCACCATGTTATGGTCAGGAGATTTAGAAAGAGATCACAGAAAGACATCCAGTTTTGTTTAACTATGATCCTGTTTCAGAAAACACTAGCACTTTGGACTGTGCCTCAACAAGTTTCCCTTTTGAATGTAAAGAATTCCGGGGGTGGAAATGTTATACGAGCCTTTTTAAATTCAACCAGTGAAAACTGTTAAAAGAGTACTTACTGGCCCGTACGGGGATCGAACCCGCGACCTTGGCGTTATTAGCACCACGCTCTAACCAACTGAGCTAACCGGCCAGCGGTGCTTTGGCCTGCCATATAATACTATATAGAATTCACAATGCGTTCTGCTAGGAAAATTAAAGAATGGGTAAGAATAAACAGAATTCGAAGACCAAATTACCAAGCATTACAAGAAGTATCAGCTACTCTTCTCGCAGTCTTAGCAAAAGACACTACCCACTGAGGCACCGCTGGGATTCGAACCCAGGATCTCCTGTTTACTAGACAGGCGCTTTAACCAACTAAGCCACGGCGCCTAGTGCTATGGTACGTGGGAACCTCATTTCTTGGCCAGGTCAGCTTCAGAGCAGGTAAGTTAATGTCCGGTGCTATTTTAGAACCAATTTTGCCCATACCGGAAAATGCAGAAGGAACGAAAACCCCAACTGTTAGCGAGAATGAACGAGTGACACGGAAATTGAATGTGGGCAAACGGAAAATAGAAATTCTTACTTTCGGATTACAAAACTTGGCATAAGTGACACAGGCCGACGAGGATGGGATTCGAACCCACGCGTGCAGAGCACAATGGATTAGCAGTCCATCGCCTTAACCACTCGGCCACCTCGTCCACGAGAAGTTTCCTTCGTCTGCTCCCTCTGAGGTCTGAACTCTTACTCCGCAGTAAAAAAAAAAAAGACATGTTGCGAATTCATTCCTTGAGATCCTGCCCAGCACTGCGGAGCCGATACGCGGAACGTTGAACTGACTGAGCTACATTCTCGCCTGCGCGAGCTCCCGACTCTCTGTTCTGGGTTGAGCGATCGGGAACTTGCGCTGTCCCTACGACCCTGGACCTGCCGCAAAAAACACGCGAGATTGCTGGGCTCTCTCCACGGGACGGCGCGAGGTTTCGCGTCAGGAGACCTCTCCTTCCGGCCCCTACAAGGTGCTGCTTCTCCTACTTGACCGCGGGAGCTCATAGTTTAAAATGATGGAAATAAAGAAAAAGCAATCAAAAGCTTGACCCCGACGTGATTTGAACACGCAACCTTCTGATCTGGAGTCAGACGCGCTACCGTTGCGCCACGAGGTCGACCGGCCTCTGGGCTGGCCAGGTCTCCTCATAACCATTGGGTGATGTTGTTTCCAGGTGGCCGGGGGCTCAGGGATCGAAGAGCAAGAGCCTAAGGTCTGCCTGAACCTCCGGCGTCAAACTTGAGTTGTAGGGCGAGCTGGGCACACTGACCCGGCAGTGGCTTTGCGAGCTCCAGGCTCAGCGGTCCCTCCGACCCCTCCCCGGGCGTCGGTGGCCCAGAGCTGGTTACCTGGGAGACCCAGGACTCACAGCACATCAGGGAAGGACATGCGCAAAAACGGATGATTAATAAAATCAGTACGTGAAAAAGTGAT